TTATAATATTTATTTTTTCATTAATAAAGTTTTGAATTTATAATTTTATTTAAAAAAATTAATTTTTTTACTTAAATTAATAAATTATTGATAATATATATTTCTGATTTAACTACAATGAATAACTCCTTTGGAATCCACGCCGGGCCAGATGTTGACGGCCTTTATGGGGTCTCAATCCACTCTTTTGCCACGTATGAATTTCTTGCAGCTTTTAATTCTCTTTTGTCCAGTACTAAGAATTATACAGTTACTAAACAGTTATGGTTGTTTGGAGGCAGATATAAAAACTTTTGTCTAAGTAAATATTTTTGCTTTTATGACATTCACAAGAGTAGAGATGATTATATAATTCATGTAATGAAAATTTTTTTATTTTAAATTAATTATAATAATAAACGTAAAGTATATTAATTAAAATATTTAAAATATAAATGAAAAAATTATTAATTTTAAAGACAAACAATTAGACAATTTTTATGACATTTAAGCTAATTTAAATTTGAGAGAATAAACGAACTAACTCATTAAATCGAATGATTCACCTGAAAAATTAAGTGTTTGAATTCTATTCATCGAGAGTTTTATTTTTACTAATAATTTAAAATTTTCCTTCAATTTCCTCAATTTTCAATGTAAAAAAAAAAAATTTTGGAAGAACGAAACTTTGCTTAAGGAATGAGGAGAGAAGTAGGAGGGTCAATTTCTGGCGACGGCATCTCTCTTTCCGACGGGGAGAGCACTCCGTTTCCCACCGACGCAATACGTTTTGACTCGAAATCACCCGATCTCAAAATCCTGACCGTCGATTCTCGGTGTTGAATCAAATGCACTTTTTCCAGGTCACCTCACACGAGACCCACGTGTACTCACAATCATAATTTTCCTTTTTTTAGAGTTGCCTACTTACCTACCTTGTGTCTTTCAGTGTATTAAGTTGTTTTTTTTTTTGTTAAAAATTTATATTAAAATATAAAAATTAATTTTTAACTTACTAATTATTTAATTAAATTTACTTAATATTAAAATTAATATCAATTTTTATATTTTTAAAAATTTTTATATATTTATAATAAAAAATATATAATAAATACATTTTTAAAACATAGATAAAAAAAACCATTCTTTTAATATCTTTTATTATACTACTATTAATCTGCCGGAACGGCGGGACCTACAATTGACAATTGATGTCATCTGACGGCTGTGATATTGTCCATCGAACGGATAATAACGTGCCACGGCATAATGGAATATTGAGTATTATCTCTGCCAACGAGGCCTCCTTTT